GGGGAGGGGGGAGGAGAATAACTCTTATTAAATGTACCCTTGCAAATCTTATAGTGTACTACATGTCAGTGTTCAAGATGCCACAAGGGATAGTGAGGAAAATTGAAAAAAAAAACATGAGGGATTTTTTTTTTTTGGGAACTGGGGAGAAAAAAGAAGAATCATTTGGTCAAATGGGGAGAGGTGATGAAATTGAAAGGAAAAAGGGGGATTGGAAGTTGGTAATGTTAGGTTGAAGAATCAGGCTTTGCTCAACACAGTCACATGGCTATGGAGGTTTCCTAATGAAAATGAAAAATTATGGCACAAAGTAGTTGCAAGCATTCATGGCATGTGAAGCAATGGAAGGGACATTGGATGCATTCGTAAATCTACCTTGGTTGCTCCCTGGAAGTCCATCCATGATCCCCTTCCTACCTTTCTAAATCATATCAGGTATGACTTGGCATCTGGTAAAAAAATCAGATTTTGGGAGGATGTGTGGATTGGGAATATCCCTCTGGACGAGAGATTCCCTTCTCTTTTTTTTTTATCTTTCTAGGTTCAAGGGTAGGCCTATTTCTGAATTTCTAAGTCAACACTCTCACCCCTCAGGGCTGAATTGGAACCTTGGCTTCAACAGGAACTTTAAAGAGTCTAAAATTCCTAGTGTTTTCGAGTTGGTAAACTTGCTGAATTCATTGTTCTTGGGAGAAGGTGGATCGGATTCTAGGCTTTGGAGCCTAATTCTGATGGGTTGTTTTCTTGTAAATCCTTGTTACATTCTTTGATAACCACCTCATCTTCTCCTTTCCCAGTCAAGAAATTTGGTACTCTCACATTCCCCCTAAAGTCAGTGCTTTTTATTGGGAAGTGTTTCATGGTTGTATTAATACTTATGATTGACTTCAAAGAAAGAGATCAAATAGGTGTTTGCCCCCTAACTAGTGTGTCCTGTGTAAGTTGAATGGTGAGACTGCACTTCATCTTCTAATCTCTCGCCCTTTGTTAGCTTTATTTGGAATTGGTTTGCTGCCCTCTTTGGGTGCAGGTTGTCTTCTCCTGACAGGTTGGATGGCTTGTTTAGCCCTATTGGCATTAGTTGCACTAAAAGGAGGGGTAGTATCCTGTAGTAGAGCAATACTATTGTGGACTGCTTGGGAGGAGAGAAATGCAAGAATATTTGAAGAAAGAAAAAAAAGCAAGGAATTCTACCTTAGTAGCCTCCTTTCCTAAACTTTTCAACCTCTCCCTAGATAAAGACTCAAGTGTTTCCTCTTGCATTCCTGACCTTCTTGCTGTCAACAATCTAAATTTACAGCTGAGAAGACCCTTGGGCTATGTTTGGTTTGAAGGAAAATGTAGGGAAAGGAAAGGAAAGGTAGGGAAACCTATACAAGGTTTGTAAAGCTTTCCTTACTTTTCTCTTCCTTTCCCTACCTTTTCCTTCAAACCAAATACAGCCTTAAGGGACCAAGAATTTTCTGATCTTGTGTCCCTCATCCAAGCCAATTAAAGAGGTCTATATCTCCCCTCACTCCCCCGATACCCGAGTGTGGACCCTTCACCTAAATGGTGAATTCTCTTCTAAGTCGCTGTTCAAGGCTCTAACAACAGGGTAAGACAGATCATTATTCCCTTCCAAGAAAATCTGGCGTAGTAACAACCCTTGTAGAGTTTTTTTTTTTTTTTTTTTTTTTTTTTGTATGGGAAGCTTGCCTTCAGAGAATAAACACCTGCGATCTCCTGTAGAAGAAAAGTTTGGGAAGACTTTACATTTCTCCTCATACCTGTTGCTTGTGTCTACAAGATGGAGAAACAGCCGATCACCTTCTTATACACTGTCAATTCACTCAAAAGATCTGGCTGCACTTACAGTGTTATATGCAGTAACGTGGAG